TGTTCCCTCTCTTGCTGTCTCTCTCTCTGTCAAATAAATAAATAAAATCTTTAAAAAAATAAAATAAAATAAGTAAAAAAATAAATAAAGGAAATAAGCATTAAAGTAAAAAAAAAAAAAAAAGAGGCACCAAGGAGGAAAACCAAAACTTACTGCTTGATAAATTCCTTTTATTTATAAAACGTTGAAGTGAGGTACACACCTTGGAGGCATAGTAACTCCTAGGCTGCTTTAGACAAAAGCTAAATAGAATGTTGGTAGAACTTTCAGTAACAATAGGAGCTGAATGCTGTTTTTTCTACATGTTCAAAGAAATACGAGGTTCAACTATGTGCAGTATGTCATTGAATGGAAATCATAGAAAGGACTATTTATGTTCATGTTTGAAATGTTCACATTGTGTTCATGTTTAGTTTGCAGGATCTTCATTTCCCCTCTCATTTTAAAGCCCATTCTTTGAGCGTACTTTAGGCTTCATTCTTATGCTTCTGATTTGATATATTAATTTCTCCCCTAAAACTCAAACATTGGCCTCTGTAGCTCATTTCTCAGAGTCACTATAATGAAAAAGAGAGTGAGAGAATCTTCTGGGTCTCTCCCCCCCTTTCATACTAACCCAGCATATGTTCATTTTGCAGCTCTTGGAGCAGTTCCATCCCCTGTTGACTGTTACCTCTGCAATCGAGGTCTGAAGACTCTACAGGTCCGAATGGAGAAGCATTTCGAAAATGGAATGGCAGTTGCCCAGTTTCTGGAATCTAATCCTTGGGTAGAAAAGGTTATTTATCCTGGTATGTTGATATGATTTCTTTTCTTTTCTTTCTTTCTTTTTTTTTTTTTTTTAAGATTTACTTCTTTATTTGAGAGACAGCGTGTGCAAGTTGGGGGGAGGGGCAAAGGGAGAGGGGAGAGAGAATATCCAGCAGACTCCTCGCTGAGCCCAGAGCCAATGCAGAGCTCTCTCTCACAACCCTGAGATCATGACTTGAGCCGAAATCAGGAGTCAGACGCTCAACCGACTGATGCACCCAGGTGCCCCAATGTTGATATGATTTCTAAGAACATATGCTTACACTAGGATTTTATGGGTTATCCTAAGTATCTGTGTATGACACCTGTTGTAAGGTAGCTGCTTTCATGTATTTTTATGTTGTTTATATATTATTGGACACTGCTGTATGTCAGGCTCTGTGGGGGGTTTGGTGGCGAAGATAGACAATGGTCTGTGTCCTTGTGTTGCCTCTGATCTAGTGGTTGCTTTGATGTTAGGAAATTGATTTTATGCATTAGATGTTCCTGCCATGGTCTTTAGCTTGAAGGCTTGTATTTACCTGTTCCAGGATTGCAACATTGTACTTTCCAGTTGATTTGCTTATAGTCTTTTCAGTCTGCCATTCTTCATTAGCTCTTTTATCTGCTTTAGGTTGGGCCTGGATACTCATCAAATTGAGACTTACTACTTACGCAGCAAAATTCCCCTGAAGCTGTCTTACTTCCTTTCCAAATTTTTTCACCTCTGCCAACTCATGTGGAGTTAGCAGACTTATATATTACTCTTTGAATTTATTTTGCCAGTCTTTTAAATTGTGGTGTGGTCTTAAGTAAATAGTTACTTTGAACCCTTTGAGGTTTTAGCCACGTGGTCTTGGTGGACAGGAGAATTAAGCTTGATTCCTGTCCTCAGGGAATTTAGATAAGCCAAGACAGAACTACATATGAGATTAAATGCCCTATATGTCCCCTAGGTTAAAGAGCTGTTGACTGGTATGTATTTTGAATGGAGGGAAGGAGAAGAGTTTCGGCCTGTGCCTTGAATGGGAAGCATTTGTTAGAAGGGCATGGACAGGCATTCCAATTCATTCAACAAATGTTTATTAATTGCCCACGATGGAGCAAGCTTTGAACTAGGACCTGGGATCCAATTAACAAAAGAAATGGAGGTGGCGCCTGGGTGGCTCAGTCGTTAAGCGTCTGCTTTCAGCTCAGGTCATGGTCCCAGGGTCCTGGGATCGAGCCCTGCATCGGGCTCCCTGCTCTGCGGGAGGCCTGCTTCTCCCTCTGCTGCTCCCCTTGCTTGTATTCCCTCTCTCCCTGCCTCTCTCTCTGTCAAATAAATAAATAAAATCTTTAAAAAAAACCAAAAACAAAAACAAAAGAAATGGATTTCTCCACATGGAGCTAGTCTGATGGATAAGACAGATGTTAAACAAGAAATTACAGAATGACCTAACTAATAGAGGGGCTGGGCAGTCAGCGGGGAGGATGTTCTGCGTTAAAGGGACAGCTTGTACACAGGTCCTGAGATGAAAAAAAGTGCAGTACTGCTAGTGTAAGGAAAGTTGATGTAGCTCGAGCATGGAGAGGGTAGAAGAGATAGGTCAGAATGAAGCTAGAGGCCAGAACACATCGTCAGATGTGGACTTGGTGTAAAGCTCATCATTATTAGGCTTATTTGCAGTTTGCTTTAGGCAAACAGTGAATTTTTTCATTCTGAAATTACATGTTTGACTCTAAAATAAGACTTTTATTGTGCCTCATGATCACAGGGCTGCCCTCTCATCCTCAGCATGAGCTGGCGAAGCGTCAATGCACAGGTTGCCCAGGGATGATCACCTTCTATATTAAGGGCACTCTTCAGCATGCTCAGACGTTTCTCAAGAACCTCAAGGTAAACTTTCAAACGAGGTGTTTTTTTTTTTTTAAAGATTATTTATTTATTTATTTGAGAGAGAATGAGATAGAGAGAGCATGAGAGGGGGGAGGGTCAGAGGGAGAAGCAGACTCCCCGCCGAGCAGGGAGCCCGATGCGGGACTCGATCCCGGGACTCCAGGATCATGACCCGAGCCGAAGGCAGTTGCTTAACCAACTGAGCCACCCAGGCGCCCTCAAACGAGGTTTTTTAAATCGTCGAGGCAGATTCCAGCAGTTCATGATCTCTCAGATTCACGTCTTTGGACTGCAGGTCACACCTACAGACCTCTTTCTCATGAAATGCTTTGGGTTGGAAAACGACTTTGGTGCAGTAGCAGACATCTGAATATGTTTGTTTACTGAACTCTCCGGACACGGCCATCAGTTTGAGAGAGACGGAATGTCCCGATGCATTGGTTTTAGATTTATTGAATTTATTGAAAATTGAACCCCTTTTCCAAATGAAATGTTATGTGAAACTTCCAAGTAATGTGTGGCTAGTGCACGGCACAAAGGCCTCCCTGAAATCCAGCCTAGGAGTGGCTTTCCAGACCTGTGCCTCCCAGGCTGCATCTGCCTGGGGTGAAGGAAGGGAGGCCTTTGTCTGATGTTTCACGCTGCCAGGAGGCTCTCAGGGCCCCCAGGGCCCCCGGGAGAGGGGCCTCTGTAACTCCATACACTGGGCTTTCAGAGCTCATGCAAGAGGCTGAGTTCTAAATACTGAGGTCTAATGCATAGGCTGCTGCCAGATTAGTCAGCGTCCACTGGTATCTAAAAGTTGTACTAAAAGCAGAAAGATAGTGTATGTTTAATTAAATACCGTTGTAAGAGTAATTTTAAAATATTTGTAAAATTATGACACTGTAACACTAAATAACAAAAACAGGTTTTTTTTTTTCCCTACTCCAGGAGGGAGTTAAATGGATGTATTAATTTAGTAAGTGATACATTTTAACAAGTGTGTATAACTTGGTAGCCTTTAGAGATTTTTATTTAAAGGGTAACCACAGAGCTAGGTCTCAAACGTAATAATGCTGAGGTTTTAGGGCTCGTGTTAGTTAAGTATCATTTAAGTAGAGGGCCAAATCAGGAAGGTAGGAGAGATTCACCTTCCTCAACTTGTAATGTTTTAAAAGTTGGCACCTCGTATGTCTAATCGGTGCCATTAGTGTTACAGATTTTATTTTCATTTTTTCTCTGGGCTTCTTGCCCAAATTGTACTTTTTTTTCATAATCACCACCATTTCTCACCCTGTGTCCAGGGCCATTTTGTTAAAAACATTTAGTTTTGTATTTTTGTATTTTTACGTTAGTGAAAGATCTAAATGAATGTTTTCTTTGCCATAGTTATTTACTCTGGCTGAGAGCTTGGGAGGATACGAAAGTCTTGCTGAGCTTCCGTGAGTATATTTCCGTTTTTCTCAGTGTTTTAACTTTGGTAACATCAGGAGTAATTCAAGACATTTGACAATAAGAATAGCATCGAGCTATTTAATCAGAATGGACCCAGTAGAATGGGGACCCTGATAAAAATCTCAGCTGTATGTGTCCTCCCCAATTTTGCTTCCTTCCGTTCTGCCTGAAGGCGATTCCAGCAGAGTTGTAGTTTAGGATTTCTGACCTTTGACACGGGGCTACTTGTTCTATCCCACTCTGCCCTGGAAGGGGGGTTGGAGGCTTTTATGAGATGGGCTGATTTCAAGGCTTCTTAGAAATGGATGAAATACTTCCATGCCCTTGACAGTCAGAGATGCCAACGAATCCATTTATTTTCTGTTCTCTGGATAAACCTTGAATGGCTTCATGTTATCTGCAAGATAAACCCAAAATCTACCTTGGTATTCCTGATCCAATCAGTTCATCTAATTGTATCAAAGCACCAGAGGATGTTAGAACATGCAGCCTGAGATCAGGGATCCAATAGCTTATTTTATAGATAAGGAAACAAAGATTCAGAAAGTTTTGCTGATTACTCAGATGTCACATAGGAATCTGTTAGCAACTTCACTCTTGAGGCTTTGCATAGAAACAATGAGAGGAGGCAAAAGCAGCCCGGATCTGGATTTGAGACCTACTCCACCAGTTACTCGCCTCCGAGCTTCAGTTTTTTATGTCCATAAAATGGGATTAGTAATTAAAATAACAATGATCATTTATTGATTACCTGTCCCACCAAGCATTCCAGAGCTGTAGCCTGATTTTATCTGATGTTACTCTGCTCATGTATTGTAAATATTGCACTGGTGATGAACATCATTACCTAATAACTTTCAAGAGTACTAAATGCACCCAGCATGTTGCTGTGTTTTAATTTTCATACACATTTCTGGAATAACTGTTCTGGAGGCACTATGTTAAGGGGTGTCAGGGACTACCACAATTTAGACACATTTGCCGTCCTCTCCATGGTAATTTGCAGCTTCTTGGAAGAGTCAGGCAGTTTCACATAAAGTTAAAGAAAAAAAATGTATGATACCCAAAGAATACTCAAATAATTAAGATAACACAAATAGGTTTTTGTGTCTTTCAAGAAGATGCCTGCTAGTAAGTCTGGATGCACAAGAGGGCACACTCAGCATATGAAATTGGGTTATTTTTCATAGTCATAAAATGTGTATTACTTTAAGGCTCTCTTAAGAATCGACACCTCCTGATTTCTTCAGGGATTTGGTTTAAAGTTGCTTGGCCCTCAGATGTACCAGCCAGCTAGGCCATCATCCCAATGCCTGCCAGTGGACGAGTGAATTTAGGTCAGGGCTTGTCTGTTCTTGCCTCATTCTGTGACTCCCAACCGCTGCAACGAGTACAGAATTGCAATAGGAGAGGGAGGGAGCAGAGCCAATGTGCGCTGGATTGGTCTTCCATCCTGACGACGCATATTAACTCCGCAACCTCAGAAAAGTTACTTATGTTCTCTCAGTCTGTTTTCTCGGTTGTAAAATGTGGATAACACTGTACTTAGCTCTTAGGGTTGTTATGAGAACATGGGGGAAAAATATCCCTAAGCCAGTGCCTTGATTCATACTAGGGCCCAAAAAATGTTAATTATTATTAGGAATTACTATGTTTTATTAGGCATCTAATACACTCCAGGTACTTGCAAATGCTTTATATATGTTCCTTCCATTAATGACTGTGATAAACTTTTGGGATAGGACTTATATCCAACTTCTTTTCATTTAAAAGAAAATGAATTAATGCACACAAATGACCTAGTAGAGTACCTGCCTCATGGTAGGCCTATAATAAGTGATAGCTATTGTTATGATTTTAGATAAAGAAATTGATTGTGAGGACAGGTAACTTCTACCAGCCCACACAGCAAGTGTGTGAAGGGGCTGATTCACGTACAGGTCTATTCATCTCACAGGCCTAAATTCCTATTTTTATATGTATACTCTCTTTTGAGGAATTAAAAGCCTGAAAAGGCAGAACATTTTTTATTTTATTTTATATATTTTTAAAGGATTTTATTTATTTATTTGAGAGAGAGCACAAGTGGGGTAAGGAGCAGAGGAAGAAGCAGACTCGAGCAGGGTGAGGGTCAGAGAGGGAGGGAGAAGCAGGGAGCCCAATGCGGGCTCCATCCCGGGACTCCAGAACCATGACCTGAGCTGAAGGCAGACACCCAACTGACTGAGCCACCCAGGCACCCAAGGCAGAACATTTTTTTTTTTTTAATTATGTTATGTTAGTCACCATACAATACATCATTAGTTTTTGATGTGGTGATCCACAATCCATTGTTTTCGAATAACACCGAGTGCTCCATGCAGTATGTGCCCGGCTTAATACCCATCACCGGGCTAACCCATTCCCCCTCCCCCCTCCCCTCTAAAACCCTGTTTGTTTCTCAGAGTCCATAGTCTCTCATAGTTCATCTCTCCCTTCGATTCCCCCCCCCATTTTTCCCTTCCTTCTCCTAATGTCCTCCATGCTATTCCTTATGTTCCACAAATAAGTGAAAGCATATGATAATTGACTT